CATTACTTTTAGAAAATTTTCAGCCAATACATGATAACTACTAATATTTTTTAATGTTGTGTTGCTGCTCTAACAAACACTTTACACACACATGTCGGTGCCAGTCCACCTCATCATGAACACATAATAACACGACACAAGTTTAACCCAATGTGCTGCTAATAAACAACCTTTTGTGTGACTTAAATCAAAGCGTGGCCTCGCTGGTAAACGAGCTGATAACAGAAGCCACACATGAGCTTCTTCAGAAACAGCAGATCAGTGGTTCTCCCAGAAGACGGAGGCTCAGCGTGAGGACGTGAGGAGAGTCCATCGGGCCTCCTGAGGCCAGATAGAGACTGAAGGAGCTGCTGGTCTTTCCTCCCGTCGACCTTCACGGTGCTCTGAACAAACCTGGATTTGTACGTTACTGAAGGATCAGTGGACCGAACGTGAATCTCCGACACGATCAGGAGAACAGTCGCTGTGGACCTCATCCAGTCAGATTCTCTACAACCAGGGACCAACAGAACTTCCTGTATGAGCTGAGTTCAAAGTTGGCTTCAGGATTTCACATAAACTATGTTAATAGAACAACAACTACAGTACAACATGTAACTGGAACAAATATGACTTCATGTAAACTTCAGCATCATGATAATTAAGTAAAAATACTCGTAAAAACTATAGTTATCAACCTCTAAACTTGTGTTGCTGCTAACAATCACTAAATCTGTTTATCAATCAGTGATCTGATTTTAGAGGAAAAACTAATTCCCTAAAACTCACTTTAGTTTGTTGGTTGAACATAATTTTATTAGAAGTTGTCGTAACTCAAAAACATTGATGAAAACTGTTCAATCATTTTAGTTTCTCTGAGCCAAAATGATTATTTTTTAGATATAGGACGTCTTTCTATGGACTGGATTGACATAATAATGTGGATTTAATTCAATATTAATGTAATTTAACCTCAAATTTCTAGATTAGTGGATTTAAAACTAGATGTAGGTTGATTTAACTCAATAAAATTGCCTTGATGACTTCGATTTTTTCAGCTTGAGTTCAGAATTTAACATAAACCACATAAACAAAAGCATGAAAAACCCAAAAAACTTTGATTTCAACCAACAAACTAATTCTCTAAACTCACCTTAGTTTGTTGGTTGAACATGATTTCATTACAAGTTGTCGTAACGCAAAAATATTGATGAAAACTGTTAAATTATTTTAGTTTTTCTGAGCCAAAATTATAATTTTTTAGATACAGGACCATTTCTATGGACTGGTTTGACATTATAATGTTGCATCAACTTTGCATTATTTGTAATTTAAACTCAAAGTTTTAGGTTTGGTGGGTTTAAACTAATTTCAGGTTGATGTAACTCAGCAAAGTTGCCGTCATGACTTCATTTTTTGTTAGCTTTAGGTCAGAATTCAACATAAACGGCATAAATAAAAGCATGAAAAAGACAAAAAACTTTCATCTTAGAGGAAGAACTAGTCCCCTGAACTCACTTTAGTTTGATGGTTGAACATCATTTTGTTAGAAGTTGTCGTAACTCAAAAGAACTGAATAGAGTCCAAACATTATGTTTATTATGAATCAGCGCATTTCAAGACGATTCGAATGTTTGTCTTCGAGTGTTCGGACGTCGGATCTCATTTAATCGCTCGTCTTCACAACAGGAAGCAACGAACCGACACACCGTCTGACTGAGGCTGTTATTTTATTTCATTTATCATTTCAGGCTCAGTTTTGACTCGTCAAAGCTCTTTTTTTTTTTCGCTCGTCCTTAATGTGATTTTGATTTTCGCCCAAGCCTGCAGTGACGCCGTCGACTCCGATCCTGAGCCGGAGCAACAATCAGCGTCTAATGAATTCCACTCGGCTGCCCAGAAACACGACGTTAATTAGAAACGAGTCGTCGTGCTCGGCTGGCCTCTTAAGAAGCGCTTAAAATGTGACTCACCTCCACTGATAAACAAAACCCTGATGCTATCACCTGCCCGTCTCTCGCAGCTTTTCTTCTGAGATCTGTTATCTACAAGCTTAAGTTTCCTTTTTGTTCTGTTGCGTTTGTTCTCCCTCTGCAGCCCCATTGAGCCTCTAAATGTGTCGTTGTTTGTTAAAACTGCGTTTTCTAAGAGACACAAACCGATAACAACATGCTGAGGACAGCTGGGACCTTTAAAAACCCTTAAACTGCTCATTTATTATCAGAAATGTAATTATTAATGTTCCTTCTACCTAAAGTGCCTGCTTTGACCTTTTATAAATGAGAAGACACCTTTAGGTGGAATTAAAACTGCCTCTGTGTGTTTTTCTTCAGTTTTAAATGCAATTTTGCAAATCTTTGACACCCTCTGGCCGGTTTATTAGGAACACCTGTGAAATCGAATGCAAAGCTTTTGTGTTTTGTTGTTTTTGAACCAGTTTTGGGCCGATAGGGTCTGAATCTACTGACAAAGATGCTGGATTGGTTGTAGGAGGCAGAAGTTTGCACATGTTTCACCTTGTCAACTCAAGTTGAAGTCCTGTCTTGGACCACGATTGTTGCTTTATTTCTGATTTAAGTCCCAGTTTGACTTTTGCTGTGTGTCAGGTGATGTTTAACTGTGTTTGTAGTTGTTGTTTGGTTAAATTCAGACACCAAACTACTTGGATAGGTTCAGAAAATGTCATTTTCCACATGTTAGAAAGCTCCAATTTAATAAGAGTCCAGATTTTACATGCACCCATTCAAATGATGTCCTACGTTATCGGCATTATTTTTTGTTTATCAATGATCAAAATGGATGATAATGGACCAACTGAGCTACTAGAAGGTGGAGGAGGTTCCTACTGGGCTATATGTAGGATCTGTGATGGTAAAAGCCATTTAATGGGATGATAAACTGGGTGTTTAATGGTGGTGGAGCTGTGATTTTACACTTAGAAAGAGGTTGGAGGGGTTGTTGAAGGCCAAAGTTAGCTGACTTCCACCTTAAAGACTTGAGTTTGACTCCTGTCTTGGGATTGTACCTTTCTTGCTTGTGGTTTAAATGCATTTTACTCAGTGTTTGACACCAAAACTACTTGGTTAAGGTTAGAAAACATCATTTTCCACGTGTTATAAAGCTCCATTCTAATATGTTTCCAAGGTGCCAACTCCACCAGAGACTTTACATGCACTTATTGACGACTGCAAGACGTCGCTCATGTTTTTGGGATTCTTTTTCGAAGGTGGAGGAGGTTCCTGCTGGTCTATATGTATGATCTGCGATGGTAAAAGCCATTTAATGGGCTGATGAACTGGGCGCTGGATGTAACTGCTCTGAATGGTGCTTTCACTGTCGTTTCTTTCTTGGTGTTAAATGCATTTTCAGTCAGAGACACAAAAACTACTTGGTTAGGTTCACTCTGTTGTCACAAGGCTGATTTTACATGAACTTATTCTAACAACTGCAAGGCGTTGCTGGTTATCGGGGTTATTTTTTGTTTAGCAATGACCAGAATGGATGATAATGGAGCAGCTGGACCAAACGTTCACGAATTGTGAATTCCACATTATGTTTGTATTGAGGTCATAGTGGGTGATTGTTTTCTTCTGGACTAATTGATGTTTGAAAGTGTTTAAATTACACCAAAAAAAAAACAACAAACAAAATCATATTCATGATTTTTGCGAGGTAGATTTAGAATTTCGTTGAACTTCATTAGTTGTACAACTAATTTCTAGGCTGGAAAACACGTAACTTCAACTCACAAACCTCTACGTCCTGATTTTATTCTGAAAGTTCGGACCAGAGGCACTACAGAAAAGCAAGAAAGACTTATCCACAAAGCAACAAGACCAGATTTAAAAAGCTGTAGCTTTACGATGACATTTTATGATATAGATTTTTAAATCTAAAGTTGATAAATATGGAACATTTCAAAGCCAAACTTGTTGGTTTGTTTCTGATAGTGTTACTATTAAACTTTACTTCTATTCATGGTTCACTTCCTGTTTTATTTTGACATCCTTTTAACTTGCGTCTCGCTTGTGTGTTTTTACTTCCTGCTCTTTGACGGCCTCCATTAGTTTCAGCTGCGTCTCCTCTCTGAGTGTAAACCTTCCTTTAGCCTGTTTGCTTTTGTGACGTTCTGTCTCGTGGATCAACTTCCTGTTAGCCTGCTTCATGTTCACCTGCCTGGTTCTCCTCAAGTTCCTCCACTCCGGTTTGGTTTTCCTGATTTCTGTCTTTCCCTCGGTTGGATTTTCACAAATTGATGATCTACGTGTTCTCAGTTACGTCTGTTTTATTGCCATGTATCACAAATACTTTTCAAATCTGCAAATTTTTGCAAATGTTTCCACTCATATGTAGATTTATTCATATGATAGACGGGACAGGATTATTGGATTGTGTGCGTTTTTATTTAAAAGCTTAAAACATGTTGTAAAAGGCTTGTATTTAACCTAAACCATCAAAACGAACCTCTTAAAAAAATCTGTTTCTTTACAAAATGTGAATGAGAATGCAGTTTAATTGTACAGCAATGTGATTTTTGCGAGACAAGGTTGCTTGACAACTATATTTTCTACATCTAGATCGACTACTTTACAGTTTTATTTTACTTTACTCTCGAGCAGGAATTTGACTGTTTTGTCTTAAACTCACTGAATGTCGACACAATCGCTGCTTTTTCAGCAAAAGCAACCAGAAACAGAAGAAAACCTCGAATCCCACACACATAAATAAACTCTGTTCCCACTGATTCTCCTGTTTTATGCACCGATTCGGATCAAATTGTCACGTTCTGGTGATTACATTTGAGCTGGAGGGGCTGAAAATGTGAGCAAAGAGCAGAAATATGTGGAAATATTGAGATGTTTGGGATTATGGTGCTTCAACAAGTCCAATCCAAACCCTCAGCCTGCCTTGTTCTCTAGTTTCTGTCGTGTTTCTTGCAGCTTCTTCTCGTTTAATTTGTCTTTTTCAATGTCACTCCATTCAGTTCTTTTTTCTTTTCTTTTCTCCGGAGCTCCTCGGGGATGTTGTCAGTCACCTCGCATACATTGCATCCCTCCAGTGCTTCTCTTTTCCCCCGTTATATTTATATTCTGAAATAAACGACGCCTAGAACTGCTCACTGACTGTGTTCATATATTCACTACTAAATGCTTTGTTTCCATAGAAATAATCTGGAGGCTGTAATTGATGTGCTTTTTTTAAACTGCCGTCCATTTTTTCTGAGTGTTTCTGGTGTTTATTCATGTTTGTTTTTTCCCTAAACAGGGCCAACATCTGAGGATTCCTGCCAACCAGTGCTGTCCGGAGTGCGTCTCCTCGTCCCAGAGCTCCTGCCAGTACGAAGGAGTCACTTATGGAGTGAGTACAGCAAAGTGAAGTTCTTTATTTTCCCTCATAGCCCTGTAAAAAGCATGTTTTCTTTAAAAATAATTACAAAAATTGCACCATTTACCAAAGCGAGAAACTGTAAGAACTTCAGGTTTTCAGCCTATAATTGGGATATTTTGTTGTAATTGCTTGATTCTTTAAGCGTCATTCAAAAATTCACAAAAAATCGACCGTTTGCATGAATCAAAAAGTGTAAAAAACAAAATATTCTGAGCTCCGTAGTGCAGCTGTGAAGCCACAACTGACCCAGCTGTAATCAAGGCCCACGAGACAAAAATTCAGCAACTTTTCGAGTGAGCTTTTATTTTGAACCTAAAATTTTGCATTTCATAAAACTCGCTTTATTCAATAAGCATCATCCAAAAAAAATTACCAAAAATCAACCGTTTGCATCGAGTAAAAAGTATAAAAAAATAAAAAATTCTGCACTTCTCAGCACAACTGAGATGCCATGACTGACCAAGTCATGACCAACTGTCGCGTTACAAAAACTCAGCAACTTTTCAAGTTAACTTTTATTTCGAGCCGAAAATTTTGATACGTCATTAAATAATTCACAAAAATCAACCGTTTGCACGAATCAAAAAGTGTAAAAAACAAAATATTCTGAGCTCCGTAGTGCAGCTGTGAAGCCACGACTGACCACCAGCCACGAGACAAAAATTCAGTTACTTTTTGAGTGAGCTTTTATTTTGAGCTTATTTTGAACTTTTGACATTTCATAAAAATCGCATTGAAGGTCACATGAAACAAATCCAGGTACTGTTGGTCTGAGCAGAGAACAGAAGTATGTTGTCATGATGTACAGTCAGTATTAGTAACACCTGTGGGCACTTGTTGAGTTCAGCTGCTTTCTGTCATTCTTACGCAGGAGATATTTCTGAGTTCTCTCTCCTTCTCGTCTTTGTGTTGTTCTGTTTCCATAGAGGTGCAGGACTTTATGTTGCAGTGAAAAATGAGCCCACAGTGAGTACAAACGTGACTGGAGCCAAAAACATTCAGAAGTTCTTGCTTGTCAGAGGGTCAAACATTAACTTCATTCCTTTACAGCTTCCATGTGTGAAGTTTGGCTCATTAATGGAGCCACAATGTGCAACGAATCTGTGGTTTTCTCAAGAATCTGTTTCCTGCAAAGAGTTTATGTTGGTGAATGTTTAATAAAATGATCATTTCCACTACATCAGGGTGAGAAGACTCAGCTTTGTCGAACATCCAGACGTTGATATCCTTGATATGACGTCGACTATTTTGGAGGCAGCTCTGACTAAACGTAAATGTTAACTGGCAAATCCTGATATGTGAGAAGATGAAACCAGGGAATCGTTACCATATTTTGCATAAATTAGCACCAACATTCAACATGTGTGATAGCTGCAGGTTAGCTTTCTGTTGACTGAGTAATCTCTGCAGCTCTTTGTTAGAGTTCCTGCTCTTTTGAGCGCAGCATGCGATTATATTTGAGAGTTCTAGACTTTTGTTTTAGCTGTTTCTCAAGATGAACTTTATTTTCCAAGTCGTGGGAAATTTGTCTCAGGCTGTTCAACCAGGGTGCAGCGACACAAGCAGACAGAAACAGACAGAAACAGGGAAAATACAGATAATAGACAGAATAAATACATATGTCAAGGAAAAGCAGAATAAAATGAATATCAAAGTCTAGTCAGATGAGTGCGAAAACATGGCACTTTAAAAACAAAAACAAACAAAAATGATCATTTTAACAATTAAAAATCATCATTTTTGAGAATAAAACTTGTTTTATTAAACATTCACCAATAAAACCTTGTATTTGTTCAGTTTGTCTCTTCAGATCAGCAACACTGAAGGCTGTGACTGCAGCACTTTGAAATATCTGGTTTTCAATCATTTAAAGATGTTTTTCTGGCAGTTCAGTTTGACAGCTAAAGCGATTAACCAAATAAAACCTGATGACGTGTTCGTGCACCTGCAGGCTGGACGTCGCTCCGGATCTCCTTATTTTGTTTTTTAAACTTTCCAAACAAAATTAATGAATCGAGTCTGTTTTCCGCCCAAAGCCTTCCAAAGCCTCCTCTCCCGCCTCACGCCTTCGTCCTCCAGCTTAATGGCTCGTTGGCAGCCATGTTGGACGGGACTCGGCGTGAAGACAAGCGAGTCTTTATCTTGGCAGCGTTTGCGCATTCTGTTGGCGTCGCTCCGCCGGCGAAGAGGCTCGTCTGCACGGATCTGAACGACCGGAGAGGAGTGACGCTGCAGAAAGCGATCCCAGGCGTTTGTTTGTCTCCATGCAGACGTCTGAAGCCACAAAGGAAGCTTTAGTGACGAGACATCGGAAGCTTTTGTGCTGGAAAAAATGACACCAATAACAATATTTTTGGTTTTGAGCCACAGAGTCCAACGAAAACCTGCAAACTCAGAACCCAAACTTTTATTTTGCATTCCACAGATTCAGATTTTCCAGTTTTTAAAAGAAGAAAAAGAGCATATTGACTGCAAGGACCATTAAAGAGTCTGTTCTGGTTGGTGGATTTGCTCTCATCCGACCAAATTCTTAATCTTCACACAATCTCTGGTGTTGCTTTCATGAAGAGAAAAGGCGTCCAGGTTTAGTCTGTTGTGTTTGGCAGCAGGACAAACAGACAGAAGCAAGTGTGAACCAGCTCAGGCTCATAAAAGCTGCCAGTTAGCATTTACTTTATTCAAAGTTGCCTCCGAAATAGTCGACGGCATTTCAAGGAGATCAACGTCTGGACGTTCGATGGTGTAAATGATCATTTAAACCATCAAAAACCCCTTTATTGAACATTCACCAGTAAATACAGTCTTTTCAGGAGCCAGATTCTTGAGAAGACAGAAGATTCTTTGCACATTGTGGCTCCATTAATGAGCCAAACTTAGGATATAAAAGCTGTAAAGGAATGAGTTGAATGTTTCCAGTCATTTGTGGGTGTTTTTGGATCCTGTCACATGTTTTACTGCAACATCAAGTCCTGCACCTCTATGGAAACAGAAAAAACACGACTAGAAGTCGAGAAAACTCCTTGAATTTCTAAGATTATGTTGTTTTTTTTTTAAAGTTGTTTTTGTTCCACCATGCTGCATGTATCTCCAACAACCTCCTCCTCTGTTCACTGGTTCTGAGCCATGCTGCATTTATTTATTCATCCAGTAGGTTGGATTTTTCCTCTCAGTCTGAAATTGTCCAAAATTATTTGAAACTTCTCCAAAGTCACATGAAATTGTCCAAAATCACTCTAAAAAAATCACACGTCTAAAATAACTTGAAAAACAGTCCAAAATTATTTAAAACTTGTTCAAAATGACAATTTTTTAAAGTGATTGTGGGCATTTTGGGTAATTGTGGATGAATTTTTTTTGTCACTTTGGACCATGTTTAGTTCAGTTTTGAGCATCAGCTGTAGAAGGATGTTCCACCGTGCTGGATGTATCTCCAACAACTGGCTCCTCTCCACGTTTTAACACCACACTGCATTTATTTTATTGCTCATTAAGTTTAGATATTTAATCAAAAATCTGTGCAACACCGTTGTTTCTTAATATATACAGATGTGCAATGTCTGACTTTCCACATTTGGAAGAAGCTTCAGTCAGAATCTTTGTTTTTTTTTTTTAACAGAATCTGGTGCAAACACTTCATTTTTGGTGATTATTTAAAAACTGAAACATGTAGAATAAAATGATTTAGACAAAATATCATGGTTTAAGCTTTGATTTGGTTAATTCTCAGACTGAACCTCATGTCAGGGATTCTCTCTGCTCACTGCCTGCAGTTCAGCCAAAGAGTACACTCCTATTTTAAGTTTTTACTTATTTTGTCCTACGGGACTGTTGGTCAGTCACGGCTTCTCATTAGAGCTGAGAAATGTTCGTTTTTACACCATCTGCTTCGTGCAAACGATTGATTTTTGGATGCCAGCTATAAAATAAAGTTTCAATTTTGCAGTGTCTTGCTCCTCGAGATGATGTAATTTTCCAGATTTTTCTTTAGAATAACATGAATTTTAAACACCTCGGTGGGTTTTTGGGGGTTCGGAGGGTTAAATTAATTAAAGGTTACATTAAAACACTTCTTATAGATTCATAAAGTCATGCTTTTGTTGGACTTTTACATGATTAGGATAAAAACAAGTGACTATTTCATGTGCATTGATTTACAGCTCAGAGAAAAACAGTAATAATATAAAAACGTCTGCTTCCGTCGCCTGCATTTTGTTCAAATGGACAAAAAGTAAAGATTTTATTAATATTACATTATGACATCATTTATTCCTGCTGGGTTTTCAGGTACTCGCTGGTCCGCTCTAAATTTTTCATATAAGATAACCAGATTCAGCTGATTAAATATGCTGCAAACAGCGGCTTTACATGCTGGTGCAGAATTGATCTAATGAGGCTCTCCGATGGATCCATGGATGAAACACGCTACATGTTTTTTTTTTTTTCTTTCCTGCAACCGATGGATTGATTGACAACAGCTTTACGTTCTGCAGAAAGCTTCTCAGAATTCACACGAGGGCGAAACTCGAGACTGATTGAAGTTTTCACAGCCTGAAAACCAGAAAACGAGCGAATTCTGATGCGTTTATTCGCTTCACTCGGACCTGCTGATATCTCCAGCCTGATGTATAGAAACCTGAGCGTCCAGGTCCGTCAGTCACAGAGCAGAAGAACCTCCACGTTGGCCACAGGTGTTTTCCTAATGCTGCCAATACACTTATGAATAAAATAGTGAGTCCAGGACGAGTGCCAACAAGCCGGATGTTGGCCCAAAGCCGGCGATGCGTCTCCGCCAAACTTCTCTTCAGGAAACACTCAAATTAGACGTGTGAGTTTAAAAAGTGGAGGTGAAGTCCTCTCATACGCCCACGTTCTCCTCCAGCGTCTCGCCTTTTAATCGCTTCATTACTTCGTGTATTTCCCCGTCTGTCACTCAGGCTTACGCTTTCCTCGTCCTCCTGCTCATTCGTTTGGTTTGTCGGTGTAACTCTCCGCCTGGTTTCCGCAGGACGACAGCCAGTGGAGTCCGTCGAGCTGCTCGCTGTGCGTCTGCTCCAGAGGAAGGGTTTCCTGCAGCGCTCGGCCCTGTCCGGAGGTCGGCTGCCCGGCCGACCAGAGTCCGTTCACGCCGGCCGGAGAGTGCTGCCCCAAGTGTGGACGCAACGGAGGTAAAAGCTGCTCATACAGACGGAGACTTCATTGACTCCTGCTGTGATGAATGGTGTTCATTATTTGCACCTTTCCAACCTGCTGGCGACACACGTGCATGTTGTGGCGTCTTCATTAAACCTCTGTTTTGTTCCCCTAATTCATACAGTGGAGCCTTTAGGAGACGATTCAGCAGTGATTTCCCTGTTGACTTGTACTGTATGTTTGGACCAAAGACAAACACATATTTTTAGAACCAGGCTGAGTAAACACCAAAGCCTCCAAGTAGGGATGCCCAGATGAAGGTACATTTACTCCCAATCCAAGTTTATTCATTATTTAGTGTCTGCTGGTACCATTTTCCTGGATAATACACAATTAACATATTGTAGAACAGCTGTAGCACCTGTAGTTTGTTGTTGGCGGCTGTTGTAGGAGTTTAGCTAACGATGGGCGCCATGACGAAGACGTCTGAGATGGTGTTACATCCAGCCTCTAGGGACAGCTGGATGTAACAACAACCAGATGGAAATGGTTCAGGAAACGCAATTTACTGCTCAGTAACATAAATGAACATAACAGAACTGTGACAGTACAAAGGAAGCTGGTGGAGGTTGCTAAAAATCAAAGAACCAAACAAAAGCTAACAGAGTGTCGAACGCTAGCTAACCAAACTAAACTCCTTAGCCAAACCTAAATCTAATAGCAGCATCCACACATAACAAAGGAAACTAAAGCAAGCTAGTGCCTCAAAACACACAGTACGAAAAGCACAAGACATTAATAACTTCTTCGCAAAGTTGGGCGGCTGCTAACGAGAGTCATGGTCTTCACTAAGACTCTCTTGAACTCCCACAATGAGTTAGCAGCAGCCAACAGAAGCTACACGTCAACAAAAGACACAGGGCGAGGGTGGACTAATGGCTCCAACTATTGAAAAAGGTGTTAAATTAAACTAAAACAAACTCAGACAGTGATCAGAACGTCTGACGCTGTTTTTTTGTTTGACATTGCAGGAGTTTAGCTAACAACCATGACAAAGACATCTGAGACCCTTAGTGACCTCCAACCATTGAAAAAGTTTTAAATTAAACCAAAATGAACTACGACAGGTTTTTTGTGATGTTGTAGGAGTTTAGCTAACAACAGGAACAACAGCAGAGACATATGTAATGCTTAACCCTATCCAGGACTTTCATATGTAGAAGGTGTTTTGGGGTCCATTGGAGCCCAAGAAAGAAAATGTGCAAAATATTTGTTAGTATTCATTCTAGACTTTTATAGTATGTTACATACATTTTCTGATAAGTTGATGTACTTTTGACTCTTTTTATATTAAAAAAAAACCCAATACCTGTCACCTAAACCAAATGGTGTGAGGTCCACAAGGCCCCAAAAGTCCTGAACAGGGTGAAAGACCTCCAACCATTGAAAAGGTGTTAAATTAAACCAAACCAGGACAGTGATCAGAATATGTGATGCTGTTTTTTGTGACGATGTAGGAGTTTAGCTAATCAATGGCATCGTGACAAAGACATCCGAGATGCTTCATGACCGCCGACAATCTAAGAAGTGTTAAATTAAACCAACAAACAGGACAGTGATCAGAATGTCCGACGCCTGTTTTTGTCACTTTGTTTTCCATGTTTAAACGAATGTAAACAAAAGTTCTGGCCCAGATTGACGCCCGCACCGATCACTTTAAAGTCCTTGTAAATCAACCCCATCCTGATTTCAGTTTGGGACGTCTTTACAGCAAAGTGAAACTCAAAAATCTTAGCGATGCTGCAAAATCCAGCAGACTGAGGCTGCTTCATGAACATAAACACCAATTCTGAGTTGAAAACCCACCTGTTTGGAGTCTCAGTTTCAGGTGTTGTTTGTCTTTTACAATTATTTTTAGCTGTTCTCTGTATATAAGCGTGACCTCATGGTTGGCGATAAGTCAGTCTAACTTTTGCAGAACATAATGGTGAGTAATCCTGGTTTCTTTAGCTTTCAGGCCTTTAATAACTTATTTCTGGATTTTAATCATCGTAACTGTCAATTCTAATTAAGTTTTCTGCCAAGAAGTTGTCACATTAGTGCGACTCCTCATCGTGCTGTGTTTACCCAGCTGGTCGGGATGTATTTATGAACCCTGACCTCGATTGGGAGGCTAATTTTACTAAATGTCTTCATCTGTAGGCGCAGTTTTAAAGAGAACAACATGTTCTTTTGTCAAAAAAAGAAAAAGTTCTGCCCCTCTATAGTGGATGTTTCACTGTCTTGTTGAGTTTTAGTGCAGCTGAGAGTCTTTTAAAAAAGCTCTGTCCTTTGCAGAAGAGCCATGTTTGCTTATTTGTCATCTGGACAGCTTCCAGTCAGCTGTTTTTTTTCAACGTGCATTTCTAATTTGCACATGAAAAGAAATCCTCATGGGAAAACTTAAAAGGAGGCACTTGACGAAGATGTATCAGCAATTAGAAAACGCAGGAGGAACACCTGCAAAGTCCTGCAGTCCTGTCTCAGTGGATGTGAGCTGCTGCTCGCTTCAGACGCTCTGAGCTGATTTATTATTCGTTTTTGTCTTTGTCTGGTTTTGATGAGGATTTTTTTTTTCTGCTCACCTTCGTTCACCTTAATTACTTTAGCGACGGCGCCTTGACACGTCGCGTCCGAGGCCGCGGACCACGACTGAATCACTAACTCATCGTTTTCTTTCTACGGCCTTGTTTGTGTAACTCCAGAATCCAGATATTTTTATTCTAAAACAACCCAAAAACTGTAAAGGTCCTCAGTGTAGCTGTTAGTCAGCTGTTAAATGCTTCTCTTACACTTCAATAAACGATATTTTTGGTGTAATGAGTGCCGCGGTGGACCAAGGATGTGATACTTTACTGCTCGACTCAGTAGTTATCACCTTTTATGAAACCCTCTGACCTCCAAGCAGAGTTCAAATGATTTGTTCCTTTTCTGTTTTTGAGCCACGCTGCATTTGATTTATTGATCCAGTTTATTTTCCTCCCAGTGTCTCTGGAGTCTCTCTTCTCTCTGTAACACTTCCTGCAGTTCAGTCTAACAGTCTCTAAAGATCTGAGTTACGCTTGACTTCTCAGCTGCAGAGTTTTTGTTGTAGGATCTGGTTTATTTAAATGAAACCTGTCGATGGAATATCCGGATTTTAAGCTCAGATTTGGT